TCAAATGATAAAGCTAATTTTAGGGTGAATTATTTGACTCAAATAAAATTATGACTAATTTACAGTCAAAGGACAGACTGAAGGCTGGAGTTTGTAGTTTATAAAGGACAGATTGAAGGCTGGAGTTTGTAGTTTATAAAGGACAGATTGAAGGCTGGAGTTTGTAGTTTATAAAGGACAGATTGAAGGCTGGAGTTTGTAGTTTATAAAGGACAGATTGAAGCTGGAGTTTGTAGTTTATAAAGGACAGACTGAAGCTGGAGTTTGTAGTTTATAAAGGACAGATTGAAGGCTGGAGTTTGTAGTTTATAAAGGACAGACTGAAGGCTGGAGTTTGTAGTTTATAAAGGACAGATTGAAGGCTGGAGTTTGTAGTTTATAAAGGACAGACTGAAGGCTGGAGTTTGTAGTTTATAAAGGACAGATTGAAGGCTGGAGTTTGTAGTTTATAAAGGACAGACTGAAGGCTGGAGTTTGTAGTTTATAAAGGACAGATTGAAGGCTGGAGTTTGTAGTTTATAAAGGACAGATTGAAGGCTGGAGTTTGAAGTTTATAAAGGACAGATTAGGCTGGAGTTTGTAGTTTATAAAGGACAGATTGAAGGCTGGAGTTTGTAGTTTATAAAGGACAGATTGAAGGCTGGAGTTTGTAGTTTATAAAGGACAGATTGAAGGCTGGAGTTTGCAGTTTATAAAGGACAGATAAGGCTGGAGTTTGTAGTTTATAAAGGACAGATTGAAGGCTGGAGTTTGTAGTTTATAAAGGACAGATTGAAGGCTGGAGTTTGAAGTTTATAAAGGACAGATTGAAGGCTGGAGTTTGTAGTTTATAAAGGACAGATTGAAGGCTGGAGTTTGCAGTTTATAAAGGACAGATAAGGCTGGAGTTTGAAGTTTATAAAGGACAGATAAGGCTGGAGTTTGTAGTTTATAAAGGACAGATTGAAGGCTGGAGTTTGTAGTTTATAAAGGACAGATAAGGCTGGAGTTTGAAGTTTATAAAGGACAGATAAGGCTGGAGTTTGTAGTTTATAAAGGACAGATTGAAGGCTGGAGTTTGCAGTTTATAAAGGACAGATAAGGCTGGAGTTTGAAGTTTATAAAGGACAGATAAGGCTGGAGTTTGTAGTTTATAAAGGACAGATTGAAGGCTGGAGTTTGCAGTTTATAAAGGACAGATAAGGCTGGAGTTTGAAGTTTATAAAGGACAGATAAGGCTGGAGTTTGCAGTTTATAAAGGACAGATTGAAGGCTGGAGTTTGCAGTTTATAAAGGACAGATAAGGCTGGAGTTTGAAGTTTATAAAGGACAGATAAGGCTGGAGTTTGCAGTTTATAAAGGACAGATAAGGCTGGAGTTTGAAGTTTATAAAGGACAGATAAGGCTGGAGTTTGAAGTTTATAAAGGACAGATAAGGCTGGAGTTTGCAGTTTATAAAGGACAGATAAGGCTGGAGTTTGCAGTTTATAAAGGACAGATAAGGCTGGAGTGTGCAGTTTATAAAGGACAGATTGAAGGCTGGAGTTTGCAGTTTATAAAGGACAGATAAGGCTGGAGTTTGAAGTTTATAAAGGACAGATAAGGCTGGAGTTTGAAGTTTATAAAGGACAGATAAGGCTGGAGTTTGCAGTTTATAAAGGACAGATTGAAGGCTGGAGTTTGCAGTTTATAAAGGACAGATAAGGCTGGAGTTTGAAGTTTATAAAGGACAGATAAGGCTGGAGTTTGCAGTTTATAAAGGACAGATAAGGCTGGAGTTTGAAGTTTATAAAGGACAGATAAGGCTGGAGTTTGAAGTTTATAAAGGACAGATTGAAGAGGGGGCGGGGGCTTACCTTTGTGAGACAGGCAGCGGACACTCTGTTTGCTTTGGATGTCCCAGAGTCGAACCGTCTCGTCATGTGACCCCGACAGGAGGAGAGTCCCGTCCATCGACACAGACAGACATGTGACCAAATTCCTGAAAGACACAGAGATGTGTAGTGTGTAGTTTGTAATTTTCTCACCTGTGTCTTTATATTAAAGAGACAAACAGCCTCAGTAAACACCCGCCGGGGTCTCTCACCTGTGTCTTTATATTAAAGAGACAAACAGCCTCAGTAAACACCTGTCAGGGTCTCTCACCTGTGTCCTTTGAAGACTTGGTTCCCGTCGTTGTCAGATGTGAAGGATTTGTCCCGACTGAGACTCTGCAGATGAAACACAGATCAAACAGACAACTCCAGTACCAGCTGTTTAATTAGCCCCACCCACTCCAGAACCAGCTTTTAAATAAGCCCCTCCCACTCCACACAGAGGTTAACGACAGCACACACCTTCCATGTGAGTGTTATTGTGTGAGTGAGTTTTGTGTGTTTGGTGTGGGGGTAATGCTGACACTCACCTGGCTGCACAGAGACACCTGGAAAATGTTGCCGTCACTGCCTCCACAGAAGAGGAAGTACTCACAGGGGTCAAAGGTCACGGACATGATCTCCACATCAAACAGGATGGACAGGAGCAGCTCACCTGAGGACAGCTCCCACACCTGGACAGAAGGAACCACAAACACCTCAATGAGTCAGAGACCAAACATGGCCGCCAGAGAACAGAGCGGCAGAAACCTCACTCATGTGACCGCGAGCGACTGAGCATGTGACCCAAGCTAACCTTAGCGACTCACATCATGTGACCCAAGCTAACCTTAGCGACTTTGATCATGTGACCCGAGCTAACCTTAGCGACTCACATCATGTGACCCGAGCTAACCTTAGCGACTCTGATCATGTGACCCGAGCTAACCTTAGCGACTCTGATCATGTGACCCGAGCTAACCTTAGCGACTTTGATCATGTGACCCGAGCTAACCTTAGCGACTCACATCATGTGACCCGAGCTAACCTTAGCGACTCTGATCATGTGACCCGAGCTAACCTTAGCGACTCTGATCATGTGACCCGAGCTAACCTTAGCGACTCACATCATGTGACCCGAGCTAACCTTAGCGACTCACATCATGTGACCCGAGCTAACCTTAGCGACTCACATCATGTGACCCGAGCTAACCTTAGCGACTCTCATCATGTGACCCGAGCTAACCTTAGCGACTCTCATCATGTGACCTGAGCTAACCTTAGCGACTCTCATCATGTGACCTGAGCTAACCTTAGCGACTCTCATCATGTGACCTGAGCTAACCTTAGCGACTCACATCATGTGACCCAAGCTAACCCTAGTGACTCTAGTCATGTGACCCAAGCTAACCTTAGTGACTGAGCATGTGACCCAAGCTAACCTTAGTGACTCTAGTCATGTGACCCAAGCTAACCTTAGCGACTCTAGTCATGTGACCCAAGCTAACCTTAGTGACTCTAGTCATGTGACCCAAGCTAACCTTAGCGACTCTAGTCATGTGACCCAAGCTAACCTTAGCGACTCTAGTCATGTGACCCAAGCTAACCTTAGCGACTCTAGTCATGTGACCCAAGCTAACCTTAGCGACTCTAGTCATGTGACCCAAGCTAACCTTAGTGACTCTAGTCATGTGACCCAAGCTAACCTTAGTGACTCTAGTCATGTGACCCAAGCTAACCTTAGCGACTCTAGTCATGTGACCCAAGCTAACCTTAGTGACTCTAGTCATGTGACCCAAGCTAACCTTAGCGACTCACAGCATGTGACCCAAGCTAACCTTAGCGACTCACATCATGTGACCCAAGCTAACCTTAGCGACTCACATCATGTGACCCAAGCTAACCTTAGCGACTCACATCATGTGACCCAAGCTAACCTTAGCGACTCACATCATGTGACCCAAGCTAAACTAGCGACTCTCATCATGTGACCCAAGCTAACCTTAGCGACTCACATCATATAACCCAAGCTAACCTTAGCAACTCTGATCATGTCACCCAAGCTAACCTTAGCGACTCACATCATGTGACCCAAGCTAACCTTAGCGACTGATCATGTGACCCAAGCTAACCCTAGCAACTCACATCATATAACCCAAGCTAACCTTAGCAACTCTGATCATGTCACCCAAGCTAACCTTAGCGACTGATCATGTGACCCAAGCTAACCTTAGCGACTCACATCATATAACCCAAGCTAACCCTAGCAACTCACATCATATAACCCAAGCTAACCCTAGCGACTCACATCATATAACCCAAGCTAACCCTAGCGACTCACATCATATAACCCAAGCTAACCTTAGCGACTCTGATCATGTGACCCAAGCTAACCTTAGCGACTCATCATGTGACCCAAGCTAACCCTAGCGACTCACATCATGTGACCCAAGCTAACCTTAGCGACTCACATCATGTGACCCAAGCTAACCTTAGCGACTCTCATCATGTGACCCAAGCTAACCTTAGCGACTCTCATCATGTGACCCAAGCTAACCCTAGCGACTCACATCATGTGACCCAAGCTAACCCTAGCGACTCACATCATGTGACCCAAGCTAACCTTAGCGACTCTCATCATGTGACCCAAGCTAACCTTAGCGACTCTCATCATGTGACCCAAGCTAACTCTAGCGACTCTCATCATGTGACCCAAGCTAACCCTAGCAACTCTCATCATGTGACTCATCAGGTGAAACCTTTGCAGTGCAACAGCCAATCAGAGGATGCAGCATCGAATCACCTAACGTGAATCACGTAATGCAACTCTATAACAGGTAACCCTCCTCATCTTCACAGCTGTGATGACTGTCCTCATTTAATGAGGTCACATGGTGCGAGCAGAACCACCTCCTGCTCAACGTGGCCAAGACAAAGGAACTGGTGCTGGAGCCCTGTTTCCATTCAGGGGGTCAGTGTGGACAGAGTGAAGGAATGTAAGTACCTGGGAGAGGACTTGGACAATAAACTAGACTGAAGTAAAAACACAGGAAAAACACCGTCTACAAGAAGGGCCTGAGCCGCCTCTATTTGCTGAGGAGGCTGTGGTCCTGTAACATCTGCAGGACGATGCTGAGGATGTTCTATGAGTCTGTGGTGGCCAGTACTATTCTGTTTGCTGTTGCATTCTGGGGCAGCAGGCTGAGGGTAGCGGACTCCAACAGACTCAACAGACTGATCCGCAAGGCCAGTGACGTTATTGGGGTGGAGCTTGACTCTCTGACGGTGGTGTCAGAGAGGAGGATGCTGTCAAAGCTGCGTAGCATCTTGGACAATGTCCCACATCCACTCCACAGTGTACTGGTCAGACACAGGAGCACATTCAGTGCTAGACCGATCCCCCAACGATGCACCACAGAACGACACAGGAGGTCATTCCTGCCAGTGGCGTTCAAACTTTATAACTCCTCCCTCTAAGAATCACACACCCGGACATTGGATTATTAACCTGGACATATTATTTAACTCTGAAACTGTGCAATCTGTCTGCAAACTGGTCAATACACTGTGCAATATCTGTTTAACACAGTTCATCTTGTACATTCATAATGTTCATAATGCTTTATCTTGTATATATCCTATTATTGTAGCCCTAATTGGTACTTATTGCTTATTTTATCAACTCTATTCTATTTTATTTCCTACTGCTGTTAAGTGTGAAGAGCAATTGTAACACCGAATTTCCCCCTGGGATTAATAAAGTATTTCTTATTCTGACTATATAAATCTGATTATCTCTAAAACAGTCCACATTATTATGAAAATTAAACAAATATTTAATTACATATAACATCATATATAATTAAAAAATAACAATAATAACATTAAAACATAATCAAATTAACTCAAGGCATTTACACACACACTTTATTTGAAAACTTTATGATTTAACGTCTGAACATCCACAGCTCCTCGCTCAGCTCGCCATCTGTTGTGATGGTCCCAGCTAGCGGACTCTGGCTCCGCCGCCTGTGATTTATGTCAGAGGGGATTTTACCAAAATTAAAAAAGCATTGAAAGGACAACGAGAAGAGAAGCCCACTGATTTAACAAATCAATTTATGATCAGTTGAACAAATCATCTGTTGGATTTCATCCAGGAACATCACAATCTCAGTTCAACCACATTACGTACACACTACGTACGCACTTCTCTCTGTGCTCGTCTTGTTAGATCTTAGTGCTGCTTTTGACACTATTGACCATCAAATCCTATTACACAGAATAGAAGAATTACTCTGAATTACAGGGACTGCTTTAAGTTGGTTTGAATCCTACTTATCAGACCGATCTCAGTTTGTACATGTTAATAATGAGTCCTCTATGCACACTAAAGTTTGCCATGGAGTCCCACAAGGTTCAGTGCTTGGACCGATTCTCTTTACATTATATATGCTTCCTCTGGGAAACATTATGAGGAAACACTCCATAAATGTTCATTGTTATGCAGATGATACTCAGCTCTATGTATCAATGAAGCCCGATGGCACCAGTCAGTTATGTCAGCTAGAAACGTGCCTTAAGGACGTTAGGACCTGGATGACCAGAAATATTTTGCTGCTTAACTCAGAGAAGACTGAAGATATGTCTTTTTTAACTTTTTCTAATGATATGACTGTCCCTAATGAAATCAGCCTGGCATCTAGCAACACTGTTAGGAATCTAGGAGTTCTATTTGATCAAGATATGTCCTTAAGCTCTCACATCAGGCAAATTTCAAGGACAAGAGCTACTAGTGCCATACTACACTTCGAGAACATTACGCTCCCAGAATGTAGGCCTGCTCGTGGTACCTACGGTCTCTAAATGTACTATGGGAGGTAGAGCCTCAGGCTCCTCACCTTCGTAATCATCTACCAGTACTTTTAAGAATAGACTTATAACTATGTAAGGTATCGACCAGCTTCGAGTTATGCTGCTATATGCTTAGACTACAGGCACCTTGACCTCTTATCTCTCCCTCCTTCTCTGTGCATCAATATCATACTAATGGGCTCTCAGATTCCTCTGGATCGTTGGTGGACGGCCTTGTCTGATCAACATGAATTGAAGCAATACAAATAAGGATTGATTGACACGTACACACTATGCTAGCATTATGTACACACATAGTACATGTTTATGAATCAGACTCACCGGGGCCAGATGTGGATCTAAGTGGACTGTGAGGAGAAGCAGAGACCCGAGTCTGAACCATTTCTATTAATAGAATCTGTAAGTCTGAGTTTAATGAAGGTTTTTTTAAGAGCAACGACAGCGTCTGTCCCCACAGGGCCACCGACCAATCAGAAGACAGACACCAGAGATGAGCAGCGCACACTCAGAGCCTCTGGGAGGATTTATCAGCACCCCATTAATTCACTTCCTGTTCAGTAACACTGTGACAGAAGAGTTTTATCTCCATGTCCACGCTTGGTTTTTAATCAACAGTTTTGCTTTCTGACGGAAACATTCAGCTCGTCTTTCAACAGATGGGAAAAGCTTCAAACCAAACCAAGTTCATGAAACGTCTCATTCAGAGAGACTTTAGGGGGAGGGCGAGAGAGAGAGGGGGGAGAGAGAGAGAGAGGAGAGGGAGAGAGAAAGAGAGAGAGAGGGAGAGACAGAGAAGGAGAGAGAGAGAGAGAGAGGGAGAGACAGAGAGAGAGAGAGAGAGGGAGAGGGAGAG